AAGCACAACAAGACAAAACAGAGCCCAGTCCCGTGCCATCCTCACAATTGTTAAGTTTGAGGTTATTTTCTTATAGAAATATGCCCTATTTTAAAATTTATGATCTTAGACACTTAGGTTGTTTTGCCTTTTGATTGTTTTGAATAATGCTGCTCTATGCTATTCAGACACTTTTTTCCCAACAGTTTTATTGGCAGATAATTCATATATCATGCAATTGAATAGTTTTAATCGTTCTAAATAAACACATTTTGGGGGGGGTACTCAGAAGTGGTTTATTGACAATGCCCCATCCTGTCCTCTGCTATGAAAACAACCCAACCCAAGTCCCTGAAGTTGGCGTCTTAGCATGGCTCCCCTCCCTGTGGGAGGGCAGATCAAGGAACCCCGCCTGCTCCCATCAGGCCTCTTTTGGGATGGGGAGATGCCTGAGCATCACACGTCACCACCCTCTCCACAGCCCCCACTGCAGGGGTTACCTTTACTGGGGTGCAGAGATGGTGTGGCCCCAGCCTATCCTGAGGCCACCATAGAATAGTCACCCCGGGGAAGACAGTAACCAGACTCAGACACACACTTTTGCTCCCCCTCCTTCAGACTGTCCCCACCACTCCCCGAGATCCAGGCCATGGCAAAGGGGCTGGCAAGGAGGGATTTTTAATGTGGACATATGCTTACAGTTCTTCTGGGCATACACCTAAGAGTGAAATTATTGGCTCTTATGGTACCTCTGTGTAAGATTTATATTATACAAGTTCTTTTCTGGCTGTTGTGATGAACGTAGATTGCATGAGGTCCAGGAAAAAGCAGGGAGATCCATTAGGAGGCTACTGCAGCACTCCACGAGCCATATGATGGTGGTTTGGACCAGAGTGGTGGGGCGTGCAGGAGGAGGAAACTGTGAGCATTCTAAGTATATATTGACAATGGAAACAAGGGTATTTGCTGACAGATTGGATGTGGACTGTGAGAAAAAAGAAGAGGAGTCAAAGATGTCTCTTAACTCTTTTGATCTGAGACTTAAAAGGAGGGATTTTCTATTTAATGAGATGGAGAAAATCGAAGGAAGAGATGACTTGGGGAAGGACTTGGGGGTTTCATTTGGGCTACACCGTGTTTGAACTGTCTAGTAGCTCTCCAAGTGGAGGCAGGCGTTGAGGAAGCTGTTGTACATGGAAGTCTTGAGTTTGAGTGAGAGATGAATTTAGGACTCATTAGTCCATAGAGGATATTTAAAGCCATGGGATTAGATAAGATCATTTAGATATGTCTAGATAGAGAAGAAAAGTAGCCCAATGAGTAAGCCTGCATATAATCATGAGATAAGAGGTGTGAGAAATGAGGAAAGACCAGCAAATGAAGTTTCCAAAGGATAGCCAGTGAGATTGGAGACAAAAATATCATGAGAGTTTGGTATAATGGAAGTAAAGTGAAGTTACTTGCTATAATTAAGGAAGAATGAATTTATCCCTCCCTTTTCTTGCTGTTCTTAGAAAATCCTTGCGGCAAAAAGCCCGGGAATAGTGTCCTTCCATTTGGAAATGAATACTGCCAGTTTGACCCAAAGCCCATCTGTAGACAACTGGACATCCCCTTACAGAAGGGTCGGTGGGGGGAAACGAGCCAGTCAGGGTGCAGTATAGCAATGATGAAACATACAACTTTCCTCTAGTTCCGAAATACACCCCCCCCCCCATGATCCCAGTTCTACCTTACAAATCTGGCTAGACCAGAGGATGTACACTGGTACAGATAGGAACTGTAAACACAGGGAATCCAGGACAGAGAAACCCCTCAGGACCAATAGCGAGAGTGGTGATACTGGGCCGGTGGAGGGAAGATGGGGTAGAAAGAGGGAACCAATCACAAGGATCTACACATAACCTCCTCCCTGGAGGATGGACAACAGAAAAGTGGGTGAAGGGAGACGTCACACAGTGTAAGATATGACAAAATAATCAAATATGAATTATCAAGTGTTCATGAGGGAGGGAGGGCGGAGAGGGAGGGGAAACATAAGGAGCTGATACCAAGGGCTCAAGTAGAAAGCAAATGTTTTGAGAATGTTGATGGCAACAAATGTTCAAATGTGCTTGACACAATGGATGGATGGATGGATTGTGATAAGAGTTGTAGGAGCCCCCAATAAAATGATTTAAAAAGGAAAAAAAATTTCTTCTGAATACTGTTCTGACAACATACTGCTAAATGGGTGGGGTCTTACATGCTTGGGACGGACCCTTTAAGATAAACTGCTCAGAAATTACTCCTCTGGAACAAAAGAGAACGAAGGCAATCCAAGGCTACAGGACTCGGTTCTGTCCGTTTGTTCTTATAGTGTTTTTATCATTGAGTCCTTTAGGTTTTATTTTTTTCTTATATTCTCTTTTATTTTGTCTGCCGTTTTCTCCATATTTTTCTCAACTTGTCATTCCTTTGAATTCCTTATCAGATCTTTCCAATTCCATTTCTTCCCCAACCAACCTTTTCTGGCTCGGTGTTTTGGGCACTGGTTTCTTGGTGGGAACTGGGGTTGTCTTTTGTCTTGGAGACATTACAGTACTGTTGGTGGTTGTAATTGATGGTTGTATATTGATTTGTTTGGTCCAGGGTTTTTCCTTTCTTTCTTTCTTCTTTTTGGGGATATATCTGAGAGAACAGGGAGGGTGTGCTACTCTGTTCACTAGCTTAGCTATCACTCACTCCCTGTGTCCTGGAAAATGTGACCAAGGATGGGAATGTGTATCCAGTTCTCTGTTTGCTATTGTATAGAGCAATTGCGGGTGAAGTTGAGGTTAGGAGCCGTCTATCATTGATCCGTTGATGTGGCAGTGGTGGTGGCACTTGCCCAGCAATGGGGCTGTAGGGCAGGTGGCACAGCTGGGTAGAATGACACAATTGCTGTCTCAAACAAGTAGGACAAAAATAAAATAGCAGAGCGGGGTTGGGGGGGAGGAAAAATAAACAACAAGAAAATAAACTTTTAATTTTACAAGAAAAAGCAAGAGAAGGGATGAGAAAAAAGAAAGAAAAACGATAAAAAACTAGGGAGAGGGAAAGAAAGAAGAAAAGAATAGTAAATGAAAAATAAGAAGAAATAATAAGGGAGTAGAAAAAGAATAGAGAAACAAGGGGGGAAAGCAAGAGAGAAACCAGAAAAGGGGAAGGAAAGGAAAAGAAAGAGGAAAACTGGAATAGACAGGGCAACTGGGCCGTGTTCCTGCTGGCCAACGGGGTAGGGTACCCAATAGAGTCATGAGTGGGACAGTGTAGGACAGGGGGCTGGACCTAGATGACATTCCTGCTGGCTTAGAAGGTGGCTCAGGGCAGGATACCTGGTGGTGTAAGTCATCCCAGGTGTTCCCGAGGGCATCTGGAGCCAGGGTAACTGGTCACAGGAGTTCCTGCTAGCCCAGGAAGTGACTAGGGGTAGGCTATTCCATCCAGCACTACGTGTTCTGCTGACCCAAGGAGATAGAAAGTATGTGTCTCCAAATGCAGGGTACCCAATACATCAGGATGGGACTTTGACCTAAGGCAGAGCAGGGCCTGGGGAAGAGTAGGGTGTCACTGGCCACACTTTTGGTCACCAGGAGGATGAGGAGCAAAGGGGAAAGATTGTACCTGTCTGGTTGCTGGCCACAGATGTGTGCGCTCATGAGGTCCTGGAGAAGTGGGGCCAATTATCAGGTTGTTGTTCGGATCTGAAAACTGCTCGTAAAATTTCACAATGACCACACTGTGTCAAGCCAGCTGACAGTTCGCTGTTCTGTTTGTTTCTTTATCATTTTTGGTCAGCTTCTTTTCCGAGTCAGTATTCAATCTACTTCTCATATCCTGGTCTCTGAAGCTCATGGTTCTTGATTCATCATTATTATGTCTTCATTATAGAGCAGTGGTTCTCAACCTTCCTCATGCCGAGACCCTTTCATACAGTTCATGTTGTGGTGACCCCCCAACCATAAAATTATTTTCGTTGCTACTTCATAACCATAAGTTTGCTACTGTTATGAATCGGGCGACCCCTGTGAAAGGGTTGTTTGACCCCCAAAGGGGTTGCGACCCACACAGGTTGAGAACTGCTGTATAGAGGATCGGAGTCACCTGTCTGCCTAGTCCACCATCTTCAGGATTACCTGTCTATACAAACCATGGCTTTATCTGCCGAGACCAGAAGAACGAGATAGTCTTCAGATACTACAGTGGACCATTCTGATCAGGGTCACAGTAGATCAGCTGTTCTCAACCTGTGGGTTGTGACGTGGGACAGGGCAAGATATGACAAAATAATACTTTATAAATTATCAAGGGCTCATGGGGGAGGGGAAAAAATGAGGACCTGATGCCAGGGGCTTAAGTGGAGAGCAAATGTTTTGAGAAGGATGAGGGCAATGAATGCACAAATGTGCTTTACACAGTTGATGTATGTATGGATTGTGATAAGAGTCGTATGAGCCCCTAATAAGACGATTAAAAAAAAGAAAAGAAAACAAAATTAAGGAATATTCACAGAAAAAAAAGAAATATATGGAAACTGCACCAAAGAAATACCAGTCCTTTGGGAGCACGTAGGAAAGCTACGGATCGAGGGTTGGGATCGGGGAGTAGTCTGAGAAATCTAGAGGACCGAACACGTATAAAGGGGGACCTGAAGCAAGAGCCCATTCCATGAGTTGGGTAAAATAAAGCCAACAAACAGAAAAATGAACAACTCAAGCTCATGAGAAGACTCTTCAGGGAATGGGAGAGGAAAAGAAGAGGGAGATGTGGGCTCTTCAGGGTAAAAATTCATCTCTCTGAAATGTAAAGTCTGAGAAGAGGTGAAGGCTTGTCTTCCATGCTAAGGCGTTTGACCTGAATGCTGCAGCAACGGAGAACCCCTGAAGAGTTTTAAAAGCGTACACTCATTTACACTCATTGTAGAAAAGTCCCTTGGGCTACAACTGTGGGCAGCTTTGAAGGAGGCAGGCTCGCTCACTTCCTGTTGGTTTTTCTCCTAGTGTGCCATTTGACATGCTCAAACCCAAAAGTGGCAAGAGCGTGCTGGAGGCTGAGAGTGAGAGCTTGGATAGCTATACAGCTGACTCGGACAGTACCTCCAGGTGAGATCGCCCCGCTCTGCACGCCGCCCCTTGGTGCACAGGTCCTCTTGTGTTCGCTACCACTGGGATCAGGACGCCTCTGCCCTGGCTGGTCCTGATTTCCATCAGGAAGTTGGAGGAAGTATTTGGCTCTGACCTTGCCCAAAGTCTTTCAGGACCATTCCTGCTTATGTGCCTCTTGAGCACAGCTGCCTGGAGCATATTAACCTCCACCATAAAGGGTTCTTCCTAGCCCAGCCCCAACTGCAGTCCCCTGGGAATGGAAGGATGAATGTAAGCGTTTGTAGAGTGGTTTAGCTTATCTTCTGCATCCCTCAAGGTCAGTCAGAGGTGAAGTTCACCTTCTGGTTTGTTTACTGTCCTGACCTCAAGCCTTCCTTAGAGGTTTGGTCCTTTGATGGTCGAAGGGGATGGGGAAGAGGTGATTTAGCTATAATGTCTGTAACTACCTCCAGGAGAGAGTCTCTGGATAAAACTGGCCTATTTCCTGAATGGAAGAAAATGTCTGCCCCCAAGTCTCAAGTCAAAATGGTAAGCTTTACGTTATCAGCACGGCTTTTCTCCTCCTCCTCCTTTTACTCGGGAGAATTGACATCGGAAATTCAAATAAACATTTCGTTCTGTGTCACCTGGGAACATTTTCTTAGGTTTGGGTTAAAACGTGAGAAAATAACCATTTCAGCGTTCCTTTCAGTTTGACTCATACTTAAGTGAAAAATTGGAATCTTATTCTGCATAAGGCTGGCCTCCCATATTCCCTCTGCCACCCTTTCCCTTTGCCTAACCTTTTCTCCCCTTCCTTAGGAATTCCTGTCTGCTGTACATGGGTAAGCACTGGGCTACCAGTTCAGAGGTTGGTGGTTCAAATCCACCCAGAGGCACCTCAGTGACTGCTCCTGAAAGCTCATAGCCGTGAAAGCCCCACGGAGCAGTTTTACTCTGCACACGTGGCGTCATCGTGAACCGATACAACCGCGACTAACAACGATTCCTTCCTAGGAAATGCAACCTGGGGCTCAAAATGTGGTATCTGCGGATGAGGGCGAAATGATTTTCAAGAAGAATACCAGAAAAATCCTGAGGCCTGCAGGTAGCTGGTTCCTTTTCATGGCATTTTGGAATCGGAATTCCGAATACCCTTGCTGAACTGTTGGTTTGGAGAAGAGGGGACCTTTGTTTTTATCTGTTTGTTTTCCGCTCAGAGTACACTAAATCTGTGCTAGATCTTCGCCCAGAAGATGTGGACCCTGCAAGTGGCTCCTTGGGAGACAGAAGTAGATCTGTCCCAGGTCTCATTGTGGATATGGTGAGTACGCTTGAATTTCCCTCGATCACTGTGTGACATTGTATTTATCCAGAGGACCTGCTCCTCGCCAGTACACTGTTTAACCCTGTAGAAAAAGACAGCATGGATCTTGATTCATCCTAAATTTCTCCAGCAAGCCTGGTTCCTCCTTTGCTCAAAGAAGGACTGCTGCCTCTGTCTCTTTAATCTTTGAATATATTGCTACACATGTGGTTGGAGCTCAAATAAATACTTGCTCTCATTAAAATGTAAAGGGAGGGTTGGCTGGGGCCAATCAAATGGGGAAAAGCCAGAGCTTCCAGGGAAAACACTGCATACGCTAACCTTTGTCCTTTGAAACTTGAGAAAGATGGTTGGATGGATCCTGAACTGGGGAGGCATATAAAGTTAAAGGTATATTTTTTCAGATACATGGTGACAGCTCAGAACTTTGCAACAATGAGGGTTCCCACTAAAAGAATCTCTTTTCATTTTGCTTAATTCTGAATCTCTCTTTATTATTCCAGGAAGAGGAAGAAGAGGAGGAGGAAGATATTGATCACTTGGTGAAGTTGCATCGTCAGAAGCTAGCCAGAAGCAGTATGCGAAGTGGCTCTTCCATGGTAAACACTATTAGTTCTTTGGTTATTGACGTGCTCTAGTGCCAAGAAGGAAATACTGTATTACTCGAGTATAAGTCGACCTGAATATTAGCTGAGGCACCTATTTTTTAACCACAAAAACTGCATTAAGAATGTGCTGGGAAAACTCGGCTTATACACGAGTATACATGATATCTCTCTACTAGAGGCAAGATCTAGGGAGATCATCTGGTCACTTTTTCCAGGTTAAGTGAGTTGCATTTGTTGTTTGTAGCCTCACTTAAGAGCATAGACTCTCAAACGTATTGGGCCTACTTCACTTTTTCAGGGAAATAAAAATTACTCAGTGCCCACCTTGCAATGAAAAATGTTGGTGCTGTAGCCCATAATCTGGGGAAAGTGTACATATCTGCTTTTGCTGCCCTGCCCCCACCCCGGATTGTTCCAGTCCCCCACCCCCCAACCCTAGGGAGTGGTATTTCCCACTAGCCCTGGAAAGTTTTAGGTCATTCAGGCTCCATGAATTCTTTGTCACAGTGTTGTGAATTGTACCCATAATATCTCCTCTTAAGAGATATTCAGGCCATGAAATGAACATCATCAGATTTCTTCATTACCCCCCACCCCACTGCCATTGAGTTTGCTTCTGACTCATGGCAACCCTATATAGGGTTTCTGAGGCGTTGTACATCGTTACAAAAGCAGACAGTCTCGTTTTTCTCCCGTGGAGCAGCTGGTGGGTTTTAACTGCTTACCCAAGAGCACTACCAACACTCCTTTTCTTCATTATACACCCCTCTCACTATAGAGATCTTAACTACTCCTGTGGGTTTCCAAGACTGCAAATCTTCATGGCAGCAGAAAGCCTCATCTTTCTCCCACCAAGTAGCTGGTGGCTTGGAACTGATGATTTTGTGGTTCACAGCTCAATGCATAACCCACTACACTACTGGGGCTTCTTTGATTCATTTTGCTCCACTCCCAAATTCTCACATTCAAGGGCAGTGCATGTCATGAGAAGGGTGCTGGCCGAACTCATTGGCACCGGGGTATGACTAAGGGTTGACAATACCAATCAGAATCAGAATCGAAAAGAAACATTTAAGGATCAAGTTTGGATCTGCTCTTACTGTAAAGATTGATATTGGGAGGGGGGCAGAGTTGGGTAAGAGGGTGACTAAAGCGGCTTCATACTCACACAGGCAAAGAATGCAGAGGGAAGGTGCCTTTTTAGCTCGGGTGGTGGTTGTAAAGATAAAGTGCCTCAACTCTGGCCCTGTCTTTTCTCTTGAGAGAGCCTGATAGGCAGAAAGGTCAACAGAACAAATCCACAGATAATTAAAGAATCTTCTAACCAACTTTTTAGCATAGATAACCTATGCTGAAAAAGGACTTGTGTTTCTTCTACTCATTGCCCACCTTCTGGGTCAGGTGAAATTTAATAAAATGTACACAGAGAGAAGATGATGAGAAACTAAGAGTCTAGATGTCTCGAGTGTTGCGAGTGTGCTAGTTAGCACTAGCTGTCTTATCCTACTCTTGGTAAAGGGCAGTTGGAAGTACTGGCCTGTTATAGGGGCTTCTGAAACTTTTGGGTAGTGGCTGCGACTTTACCATGAGATGTGAGGGGGGTGGTGGTATGGCTTCTCCAGATGTTTGTGGGTGCTTTATCTGCAGAGTACGATTGGCAGCATGATGAGCATCTATAGTGAAGCTGGTGATTTCGGGAACGTCTTTGTGACGGGCAAGATTGCTTTTTCCCTGAAGTATGAGCAGCGAACACAGACTCTGTCCATCCACGTGAAGGAGTGTTCCCAGCTGGCCTATGCTGATGAAACCAAGAAGCGCTCCAACCCGTGAGTGCCTTTAGAACCTGACTGATGATATAAGATGAGAGATGATACTTTGGAATCTGTCGGGGAACCCTTGAGCTGAGGTGGTTCCTTCCCAGGGGGCCAGGGAGGTGTGATTGAGAGGGGCAAGGGAAGATATAGGAAAGGCAAGCAGAATTGGGAAAAGTATGTCTAAGAAGGGCTTGAAGTGACATTTTCATTTCTTCATGGCAAACGGAAATTGCAAGCAGGGAAATTAATGGAGTTGAATAAAGACAACAATGGCACTTTCTCTCTGGTTTCCAGATATGTGAAGACGTATCTTCTGCCTGACAAGTCCCGCCAAGGAAAAAGAAAAACCAGCATCAAGCGGGACACCATCAATCCATTATATGATGAGATCCTCAGGGTAAGTATCTGGGCACTGAGGGTGGAACAACCTGTTCTGTCTAGTTTCCTAAGCATTAGCTATACCTCTGGAAGCTGGCTGGTTGGCATGGGGTTCAGTCGACCATGTCTGTGTCAAAGGCAACACGGTGGGCATCTGGTCACAGTGACTTCCCCAAGGAGAAGAGAACAAAGAGCAGGCTCGCTGGGATTACTGTGAAGTCAGAGACTCACATGCGTATAAATTTCATTTTTACACATTATTTTGGCTAGGGAGTCTCCTCGGCAGTTCTTAGATGGTCCAGTGTGCCCTCACCCATTCAAGAAAATGTTCATTCATTGTCCAGGTCCTCCCATGGAACACGGTAGATTTTTATGGGATGGGAATGTGAAGGCTTTGCTGGTTGGGGGGGGGGGGGGGGGCGGGCGCGTAATTTGAGGGTTTAAGATGCTGGAGTTTGGGTACGGTTGGTCAGGTTTGGGAATGATTCTTCATCACTGAAGATTTGCTGCTAACAATTCAATCATCTTGGACTTCTAATTCTCCTTCACAGTATGAGATCCCAGAATCTCTCCTGGCCCAGAGGACCTTGCAGTTCTCAGTGTGGCATCATGGTCGTTTTGGCAGAAACACTTTTCTTGGAGAGGCAGAGATTCAGATGGATTCCTGGAAGCGTGATAAGAAACTGGATCATTGCCTCCCTTTACATGGAAAGGTAGTCAGCATTAACCAATCCTTACAGTTTGTACCTGAAGCCGAATTGTCTGCAGTGCCCTCTGCTGGTAGATGTTGGTAACAAGCTTTGAATGTCGCCTTCTGTAGAGTTCTACTGCCCTCTGCTGGTGTTTCAGAGTTTGACAATCATTTCAGATCCACTTGTGTGGCCAGTAATCACATCTGTGTGTGCCAGGCGAAGCATGAAGCCATGGTTTTGCTTTGAAAAGTCTTCTCTGTATGTGCTAAGCTTTGCCTCCTAGCCTTCCAGAATGTGGGTGTATCCAAACAGCTGAATTTGTTCCTCATCTGTGAACTAATCTCTGGATGTATCCTAATCTGCACTTCTTTTCCAAGCCCACCTTCTCCCTAAAGAAGTGTGTGGGGGGGGTGTGGGGTAGGGGGGTGGGGAGTGCAGATAGCAATTCACCCGGCTTCAGTTGCTGTTTTCTGTCCTCTTTCTTGGTCACACAGGCCAGCAAAGGTTTTACTTTGGAAGTGGCATCGTGGGTGAGGTGGCAGTGTGGCATGATATTGCCTGGGATCTAAATCACCTAACACAAAATAACTTAGGCACATCACCTAACTTCTGTCAACCACGGTGTCTTCATTGATAACAATACACCACTGGCAGGATTGTAAACAAAAATACATACCAGTGCCTGACAACATAATGTACATACAATAGATTACTGTCAATCTGGTCAAGATGAAATTGTTAAAATGGAATCAAGACTGGGCCAGTCACTGTTTGGGGTGATCAGAATGGGTATACACTTGCATTTTCCAAAGGAAAACCAATAGATGGTGCATGTACTGGAATATCTATGGTCTTCCAAAGATATGCAAGGAATAAGATGGGTGGCAGCCTCTAGGAAGGGAGCAGGGGGACTGAGGTAGAAGGGGAATTTGTTTTTTTCTTCAACATGTCTCTTTGTACGGCTTATTAAGAAATTAAGACCAAACGGATCATATGGTTCAAAATTAAAACAAGGTGGACACATGCACAAAGAAAAAAAGAGCTTGCCGTCCCTAGAAAGAACCCTGTTAACACTAATTGGGTATCCTTTTGTATTATGAAATTTTGTATTAAGCAGGGCACACATACATTTATGTATTTATGTGGGGTTGTTTTTTTTAACAAAACACAGATGGACTCATACGAACCCCCCTTGTCTAGGTAATCTCATTTTTCTTCTCATTTAGTAATGCATTTGCTATCAGGAACATCTTCCAGTGCCATTACTTACAGAGATATCTCATTATTCCAATCGCTGGGTATTTCTTTATTTGCCTTGTATTACAGCTTTTGTACCATTCTCCCATTGATGGACTTTTGAATTGTTTATATTTTTATTTCTAAATCTAGGCTGTATTATAGCTTTTGTGAATGTTACTAGAGGAGGAATTCCTGGTGGTAAAATTGCTGAGCCAGAGAAAAGGTGCATTCAATAGCTTGATAGCTTACTGCTCTCCAAAATTAGGAGCCCTGATGACATAAGAAATTATGTGCTGGGCTGCTAACCACAGGGTCAGCAGTTTGAACCCACCAGCTGCTCTGTGGTAGACAGATGAGGCTATCTGCTCCCTTAAAGATTTACAGCCTTAGAAAGCTCAGGAAGCAGTTCTACTCTCTGAGAGGGTCACTATGAGTCTGAATCAACATGGTAGAAATGGGTTTGGTTTTATTGATTTGTTTTAGCCCATGAGTTTGTGTGTGTGTGTGTGTTGATAACATTAAGTTCATCCCTTTAAATTCTAATGAAAACAGGAGAGCAATTATCGCCAAGCTATATTAAGCCATTAAAAATTTAGAATTTCTTTTTAAGTATTTTGATACTCAAGTTATTCTCTCAGGAGTCTACAGTAGAGAATGATATTTGGAATGCCACTGTAAACCATCATAAACTACTGCCATTAAAAATCTCACATATAATGAAAAAAAAGAAAAGAAAGCATCGGATTGGAAATAATTACTTTTAACAACGATTTTGAGCCAGACTAAAGATATGCTATGGACCAAGAATTTCACTGTCTAGCGTCTAGCCAATGCTAAACAACACTTTTTCAGAGTTTTCCATTGAAACACACAAGCCAGAGTGTATCAAATTGTGTAGACATCCTGGAAACAAATTAAAAGGCCATTCCAGTATTCCAGACCTATTTCAACTGAAAACATTGCCTCTGATACTCCCCTCTCCCTGGCCAACTTGTTTTTCTTTTTTAATCTACTTGCTCCCATTCTGTTCTCTTTCTCTAGCACCCGCCCCTTCTTCTGTGTGTCTCTCATATGTGTATTTCTGGTTTGTAGTACATTCTTCCCACCCATGAATTCATATCTCCCTTTGAGGTCACTGAGTTGGCTCGAAGGCTGTGAGGCTTGTTTGTTTGTTTGGAGCCCTGGGAACGTCCGTGGTGAGCAGCCCCAATGAACAAAGGCAGGTGAAAGGGCACGTCTAGTCTGCACCAGATACCGAAGGTGAAAGACCGAGCAGTCAGGTGGAAGCAACTTCCAACAGAGGGAACAGTTTCTGCCACCTAAAGGCACTCGATGCTTACCGCAGGCTTTCATTCATTCACTCGTCCGTTCATGCGACACATATTTATGGAGGGATGATGCGAGAGGTATTTTGCTAAGTGTTTTGCATCGGATGATGAACAAAAATGGGCTCAACCCCTGACCTTGTGGCTCTTATGGTCTAGTGTTAGAGACTACTACCAATCAAAATAAATCATGGACTCAATGGCGGTGAGTTTGGGGTTTGGTTCATTTAAAAGTAGTTTTTTTTAAATTTAGAAAATCCTACATTTTGAAAAAGACCCCATAGATGTATAGAGAGTGAAAAACTGACAGCTCTCTTTCCTGTTCTCTCTCCACTGCCCCCTCTAGAGGGAACAAAGGGTCGGCTTGTCTGTGTCCTTCTAAGTTTTCTTTCTTTCTTTCTTTTTGGTTAGAAAGAGGGACTCAGGATCCACTCTGCTTGAATTCAAATCCTGTCTTGGCCAGTGTGACCTTGGACAAGTTACTTCACCTCTCTTCCTCTGTTTCAGAACCGGTGAAATGGGAATCCTAGCACTCGCCGGGATTATCTGGAGGATTAAATGAAGTGATACATATTTAAAGTACTTAGAGCAGTGCCTGGCACATAATAAATGTGATGGGAGTGATCGTGGCCCTCGTTTAAATATACATATTTATTCGCATGTACCAATCTGAATACACTTTGATCTAAAAGGGAATATGCCTTTGGCGTCTTGCTTTGATGCCCTGACAGGACATCTAGGATCCCTTTCCTTGTCACATGAATGGATTCACTGCCTTCTTTTAGATGTTTGCTTACCGTGGGCTTACGAGAGTATGACAATCACTCATTTAAACCTTCATATGCTGATTGGCTTTTCCTATGATCCTCTATTGATTGGCTTTTGCTAATGCTGCTGGGCGCACGTTTCTTCATCATGCCACCAGTTCTCTGTGGGCAACCTTGCTGGGAGACCTCAGTAGGTATTTCTGAACTAATTGTTGTATCCCTAACGTAGCAGAAACAGGCTTTGTTGGCCCTTCTGCATCTCCTTCCGTGAAACAACGACCTTATAAACTTGTGGCTGCCATGGTCTAAGGACCAGGATTGTGGTGCACGTGTTGAAGGACCCTCTTAGGCTGCGAGGCTGCTTGTGAAGGCAACTCTAAGAATTCCTCAGGGAGAGCTTCCGACAGTTCTTGAAGCCTGGCTTGACCTGGTGGGTTTCCCTGTGTTTCAGATCAGTGCTGACTCCTTGACTGGCTCGCCACCACACAAAGGCGAGCTGGTGGTTTCATTGAAATACATCCCAGCCTCCAAACTCCCTGTTGGAGGCGACCGGAAAAAGAGTGAGTTTTCTTTGGGGCACCCGGATTTAGCTCTTAGTGTCTCGTAGAATCTGCGTAAGGCTAGCAGCACTAACTAGTATTAGAGCGACCAGACGGAGATGCACGCTGGGACTTCTAGGGAAAATGCCTAGATGCCTTTACAGATTCAGGCTTTTCTGCATGTTTCAGCCAGCATGTCTTAGGATTGGCACGCCTTCCTCTTCTGGGGACTATTAAATGGGCTTCCTTTTGGTTCAGCTCTAGCAAGTTATTAAGAAGTCATAGGAGAACAGAAATTTGGGGGCTGAGAAAGAATGATTGGAAGGGAAGGTAAAATATGAGGGATGGGAATTTGAAGGTTGGAAAGAGTCAATATGCTAGACACTGCTAGAGGCTAGGAGCCCAGGTGGCATAGTGGTTACACACTGGGCTGCTAGCCACAAGGTTAGCAGTTTGAAACCACCCACCCCTGGGAGTAAGAGGAGGCTTTCTACTTCCACAAAGAGTAGTCTCAGAAACCCACAGGGGCAATTCTGTCTGTCCTATAGGGTTGCTATGAGTTGGCATTGACTTAATGGTAGGAAGTTTGGTTTGGGGTTTTGGTGCTAGTGACGACTGATGTATCAGTGAATAAGACATGATGCATGCTGGACACTGTGGATCAGACATTGGGCTGTGAACCACAAAGTTGGCAGTTCAAACTTACCAGCTGCTGTATGGGCAGAAAGATGAGGCTGTGTCTGCTCTCACCAAGATTAAACTTAGAAATCCTATGTAGGGTCGCTATGAGTCCAAATGGACTCAATGGCAGGGTTTGTTTTTTGGGGGGGGGCTGTCTTTTTCTTGAGTTTTGTTTTTACAACAAATTTTTCTTTGTAAATTTGGTGGAGGTCTACATTCTAATTAATTTCGTTTTTGCTTCGAGCAACTTAATTTCGCAAGAAAAGCACATGTGCTAAGGGACACACAGACATGGGAGTGATGAATTCTGTTTAGTGATGTTTGGGAGAGTTTTAGGGAGGAAGTCTTGTTGAATCCAGTCCTTTGTTTAAGATTTGACGAGGCCATAAAGGAGGAGGGTAAAAGGGAATTTCTGTGTACAGGGTAGAAAGGCATAGGAAGTGTGGAGCTGTGTGTAAATAGGGGAGTGAACTCCTTTGGTGGTGCTGGCGTTATGTATGTAGACTTGAGAGTGGGACTGGAATGGGATCTGACGCCGGAGTCCAACTGAAAAGTATCTTGAATAGTAATGATAAGGAGTTGAACTTGAACTGTGGCAGTGGAAAGCGAAAGAGGTTCTTAACAATACACTTTCTGTAAGATGGAATAAAATGATTAGAGAAGAGAGAGGTCGGGCAGAACCACCAAGAAAAGCAACATTTAAAGGATGAAGAGAGAAAGAAAGCGCTCGTGAGGCAGAGGGTTCCCAGCGACAAGCGTCAGGAGAGCACTTCCAGAAGGAAGGGACCTGCAGCGGTCAAGATATTGAAGTCAGCTTAGGGGCAGGCTGCGTCGAAACAGCTCATTGGCTTGTTCAGCAGATTAGTGGAAGTGAGGTAGTGAACGTGGCCTCTCTGCTTTATCAGGACTCTCGGTGCTGAAGGACTCATAGCAACCCATAGAACCCCTGTGAGTTTCGGAGACTAACAGTTCGCAGGAGCAGAAAGCCCCATCTTCCTTCCACTGAGTGGCTGGTGGTTTCGAACTTGGCACATTGTGGAGCTCATCCCAACTCGTAACCACTACACCACCAGGGCTCGGCTCGCTGTGAGTCAGCATCGACTCAATGACAGTGAGTTTGGTTTTGGTGTTTAAGGAAAGGAAAATAACTTGAAAATGAGGAGATAAGCTTGCCAGGGAAGCTTTCTTTTAAAAGGAGTTTCAGACAAAATCAGGAGAGTTGAGATTAGCATATATTTAGACTGAGGAGAAGGGACAAGTGGAGGATGACATGTTATCATTAGGGAGACAGGGATTGAAATTGTGAAGTGACCATTGGAACCCCAAAGGAAGGCGAGCCTTTCTTTCTTTTAAAAATAAGTCAGCAAATACTGGGTAGTGTGGTTGCTCTAAACCTCAATCTGTTCATCTATAAAATTAGGACAATACGAGTAATAGCTCATAGGCTTGTTTTGAGAACCAAATGAGGAAATAGATAGGACCTTCCCTCGTAGGGTCGTTTTGAGAAGTCAGTGCTTAGCTCTGGCCCACGGCTAGTGTCCAATAAGTGGTTCTTGTGATGGTTGTTATTAACTGGGTGCCTATTGCTGATTGCCAGGGACTGTGCTAGGTGTTGAGAATACCTGTGAAAAGCCGTTTCAGTTGTCATGGAGCTAGCTGCCTTCAAGAGGAAGGAAAGGAGATGCTTTCTAGATAAAGTTCCAAAAACTTCTGGAGGTGCAGGGCTCACTCGTTATGGCTGACATCCCTTACAGGTAAAGGTGGGGAAGGGGGAGAGCTCCAGGTGTGGATCAAAGAAGCCAAGAACCTGACGGCTGCCAAATCAGGAGGGACTTCAGACAGCTTTGTCAAGGGGTGAGTCCCTGGACCAGCATCCAGCTAACCAGTTTCAGGACCAAAGAGATAAGTGGGGAACCCGTTGTAAGCTTTCTTGTGTGTCCTTATGTGTCCTGCCACCCCTAGCAGGCACCTTTGTTCCTGAGATTTGGTCATGGTAAAGCTGCTTCCACCACCTGTGCACTGGACTGAGCTCAGGTTGGACTGGGATGGAGTGTTGATTTCCACAGAGGATGGTGGACAGATAGGTTCTGATTTTGCCTTTGGAATAGACTTAAGTATTTAATCAACGCTGGGTGAAAATCTGTAGTCCCCTGACTGTCTACATTTGAGAACTCAAGATTGTGTTTCTGACCATTTTGAAGCAATGCTAGCTTTCCCCCAGTGGTTGATCACCCTGCTGACTTGAGTTCTCTAACATATCGCACTGGGCTCAGTTGACAGTTGTTACTATTGTTAAACACGACCTTGACCATTAGAAATGGAGTCAAATGTTTAAAAGCCATTTGGGTGGAGCATAGACAACAGCTCACTAAGAACGTGATGTTAATTTTCTCTCCAGGTTAAAGGAATTGAATCAGGTAAATGACCTAGTAGAGGTGGCAGAAAGTCTGCTTCAGCAGATTCAAAGGAGAGGGGGGGGCGGGGCTGTGAACTAGGATCTGAAGGTCGCCTCGCCTCACTGGGCTAGGCCTGTGGTAGGGGCCAGGGGAGCCGAGGCAGCCACTGCCAGCTTCGAGTGGGTCGTTGATTACTCCCCACCCTCTGCCAGATACCTCCTTCCCGTGAGGAACAAGGCCAGTAAGCGTAAAACTCCTGTGGTGAAGAAGACTTTGAATCCCCACTACAACCATACATTTGTCTACAATGGTGTACGGCTGGAAGATCTGCAACACGTGTGCCTGGAACTGACTGTGTGGGACCGGGAACCCCTGTCCAGCAATGACTTCCTGGGAGGGGTCAGACTGGGTGTTGGTACTGGTGAGAGCCTCTCCCTCATCCCGACTTGTCTTAAGGGCCTCTTGTTTTCTCACTACATCCTTACCTCCACAAAGACACCCTCTCTGACTAGACTTGTCTTCTTTCTCATCAGCTAGCGTTCAGCGAATATGTATTCAGTGCCGACTGTGTGCCAGGCATAGAGGAGGCCGAGCTCTGCACGGTTATGTGTATAGGTTTCTCAGCCTGGTTCTCAGCCAAGAATTTTACCTTTCTCGCCCAAACATACTACCACTGTACCTATGATTTGCATCTTCCTTGATGCACAGGCCCACCCCTCTTCATGTGTCCTGGGTCCTTTTCTGCCTCCCCTTTTCAATGAGCTCACCCCTAGAGCGAATGTCCTCTCCCTTCTGTCTTCCTATCTAATTGAGGTGAATACAAATAGACCATGGCATTTCCTATCTGAAACCAAAACAAGCCCTCCTTTAACCCCGCATTCGCTCTCTCAGGGTTTTGTTTTTTAATGTCAGTTCCACCTTTCTGCCTCTCCCTTAGTGCTCAATCCACTGTGATCTGGCTTCTGTCACACACTCCAGTGTGGAGTTGCTAGTGCCAAAGTCACCTAGAGATTCCATATGGTCATGACCTTAGGACAATCCCCCCACCCCCTCCGCTTTCAAATCACTGCCATTTGTTTATACTGCTTCAACCACAGTGACTTTCTTTCTGCTTCACAAATAATCCAAACTCATTCCTACGTCAGAACCTTTGTAAGTACTGTTCCCACTGCCTGATACTGTTCCCTCAGGACTGTTGACCTGGGTTGGGTCTTGACAAATTGACAAGGGGAAATGTCTCCGCCTCAAGGAGGCCCCCAGATCGCCATCTCAGTAAGACCAGGCCTGCGCCAGGCACGCCACATTTCAGTACTTCACGGCACTGAGCTCACTGTCTGACCCTACGTGACTATTGTTGACTGATGTGTATCTCTATTCTGCCTTCTCTGTTCAAATGAAAGCTATATGAGGGCAAGGACCTGTTCTGCTGTGTTTACCACTGTTTCTCCAGAGCAGGCGTCCTCAAACTCTGGCCCGCGGGCCACATGCGACCCGCCGAGGACATTTATCCGGCCCGCCGGGTGTTTTTGCCCCGTTTGTTTTTTTTAACTTCAAAATAAGATATGTGCAGTGTGCACAGGAATTTGGTCAGAGTTTTTTTAAAACTATAGTCCAGCCCTCCAACGGGTCTGAGGGACAGTGAACTGGCACCTTTTTAAAAAAAGTTGGAGGACCCCTGCTCCAGAGTCTAGTATAGGACCTGGCATATAGTAGGCACTCAATAAATGTTTGCTGAATGAATGCAGCTGTGACTAGGAATGAGGCTGCATAGAAAGTTCTCATATACTTTTAAAAAATTTGAAGTCAAATTGGCACTAGCAGAAGCACAGTAGCTCTGGCATAGAGTGTCAGACACTAGAGCACTGTAACCACCTCAGAATAAAAGGCCTCTTAGCTCCTGTGCATGCTGGAAGCCTCTGGATAGTCTCAAGGGCACAGAACTTCCGGTAGAGAATCACCAGAAGGCATCTCTCAGATTTCTGTTCCCATCAGCTCATCTTCCTAGCACGTTGCGTTTTGTGAGGCTGCTACCCCTGCTGTCTAACCTGTCTTTCCTGGTGGGCTGGAGAGTGGGGCCCCTGTTCAGCCTCCTCTGGTGTGTCTCCCCAGGGATCAGTCATGGGGAAGTGGTGGACTGGATGGACTCGACTGGGGAAGAAGTGAGCCTGTGGCAGAAGATGCGACAGTATCCAGGGTCTTGGGCGGAAGGGACTCTACCGCTCCGTTCCTCGATGGTCAAGCAGAAGCTGAGCATATGAGTCCCTGTCCTCCTCTGCAGGCCCAGCCCTGGCCAGGGCAAGCCCACGAACGTGAAGAAACCACGAGCAAATATGTATAAGTTAATGTGTGTGTGTGTGTGTACCAATGTGTTTCTACAAATCCTATTGTGCTGGCGTGATGTAGACTTGTTCTCCTTTGTAATAGAGTAAGGGTCTCTTCAAAGCTGTGTGTGCGCGCGCGCATGTATGTGTGTGTGTATATATATATATAAAATCTAGGATGTTTTAAGCGTCTCTCTTATATATTTATGAGGTCTAATGAACATCTTTCAAAATCTCTTACAATGACATTTTATCTTCCCTCTGGACATCTTTGCTCCTGCTTCCCCCAGGAAACCCTGTCTGCCTTTGGGATTAGCACCAGCCTGTTCCCAGGTGTGCCTGGCAAGGCTCTGAGAAGGAGGTTGTTTTTCTCTAAAGAGAAGAAAATATGGGAGCAAGATGAATAGCTCCTCCCTCTTTTGCCTCTCCAATGTATGCTTTTAGCTCATATAAAAAAATGTTTTAAAGTCTGTTTTCTACCTTGAGACATGTCTGAAGTTTTAGCTTTTAAGGGTTCTTCTTTTTGGCAGTTTCCACCTTGCTTGGGTGTGAGGTCTTTCACAGGTTAAAGAAAGGCCAGTTAGAGGTCCCTTTTCTCTACCGGTGGGGAAGCCTTTTACAAAAAGACTAGAAAAGCACTTTCATCCGATCAGAGGCCTCTGACTGAATCACGGACGTGAACAGCACGAGCTTCTAGATAGTCCCCGAGGACTGGGACTGAGGGTGAAGTGGCTCACAGTGCATGGTCAAGTCTACATTTTTAACGGATGCAACTTGTTAAAATGCTCCTCCTATCTGTAATGAGCAATGAGACATCTCCACTCTTATA